CACGGATTTCACGTAGGTATCTTCACCTTCTCCCGAACTTCTTCCGGCCTGTTTCTCGCGCAACCGCTTTGGATCGTCTCCGACCACCAAACCCTGTTACAGGCGGCCGGGGGGGAGACAAAGAGCGATCCTGTGCGCTCAACGTGCAGGTACCTTTCGAGAACCCTCTTTCTCCTCGCGAGCGGCGTCGGTCCTGTGCCGACACTACCCGACCAGAGCCTCGGGAGCGAGAACAATCCCGACTTCTGGTCTCAAACGTTCGTTTAGAACCCACTTTAAAATTGGAATCGAACTGACCAGAGGGAACCCGTTTATCCGATGCGTCCCCTTCGATGGAAAACTTACGGGCCGGGCGACGGTAATCAACGTCTCGTGCAAGGTCTCGGGCACGGCCCACAGGACCGCACTGTCTATCCGGTCGCGCCGTCGGATGCCGACCTTTCGAAAGGCGCCTCAATGAAGAGCAACGCCGGATTTTTCGTTCAGCCGACCGGTCCCGTTGACGGTCTCTAGACCCACTTTCCGCTACCTGCCGGCTCCGTTTCGTCGTTGAAGGTTCAACACTGCTCGCCTGCGGGCAGATCTTCGACTGTCGTTCTCTTGGTCCTCGCTCGCGTTTGTTCCTCAAATCCGGTTCTCGGTCCTTGTTCGATGGACCAACCGGAGCCGATTTGTCAACGGAGCCCCTTTCGGAATCACTTTCCGAACTTGGTTGGTCACAAAAGTCTTGACTAATCTCGTCAGCCGCGACTACTCGCAATGTTGGTCCGGTTCCGGGACTCGTCTTTCCGTTCCCCTCGTCGGATTCCGACAAAGAGGTTTGAGCAACCTGCTCGCTCGAACACTTCAGTTCTGTTCCTTGGTCTTGTGAATTCCCGTTCGGTTCGGCCGAAGCACGGGGTCCTTTCGTAAGGACCACGGTAGTTTCGGTCTCCTGTTCAACCTCGCCTTGTTCCCCGGAGGCCAGGGTTGGGGCCAAAGCAGCAGTCGGTTTCGTAGAAACCCCGGAAAGCGGCTTATTCACCAGTGTTTTCGATGTTACGACTTCTACCACTGGAGCGCGAGATCCTTTCGTGAGGACCACTTTCGGTCGTCCTTCTGCCGGTATCAACCCAAGGTTCGCAGTCGTATCGACGTTCTCACGGGCAATCAAAACAACCTCCGTTGAGCCCGGGCGTCCTTCTCGATTCGTGTCAACGTCGCGTGAGGTCGCTGCTGCTGCTTTCCGAGCCGCCTGACGTTCCCGCTGCGCAGCCCTAAGGAGGGTTTTGTGGCTAGGTGCGTACAAAGCTCCTGTGATCGGGTCGACAAGCGTAGAACCTTCCCCCGGAAATCGATTCCCTTTCAACTCGGTTGTCGGACCTGCTCGCTTCGGTCCTGGTTTCGGTCCTTTGCCGATTCCAGTCCCAGGAAGCAACAAAGCAGGGCAAGGGTCCCTGAGCTCGGATGCCGAGCTAGGAGCCTTAGATACAAGTTTCGGTCCTTTGCCGATTCCTGCCTTCGAAACTGACGAAGACCCGTCAACGTTATTAGCCGTCTCTTGCAATGCTCCTTCTCGACTGTCTTCCTTGTTCCCACCCGGACGAGGGTCAAAAAGAAATTTCGTGGATTCGCTATTTTCCAAACAAATTGGCGTTTCAACGGTGACGCTACGGACAAGGATTGCGTCACCTTTTATTAACGACCAGTTGACGAGCTCAACCGCTGTTTTTAACTCGGTGCTTGCGCTCGAAGAATCGGCTATCGCAATCTTAATGGAGGTGTGGGCCATTCTTTCTTATAAGTTCTATCTCCTTATTTAATCCGTCCAGCTATTTTACTTTCGTTAACTACTACGAGCGGCTACCGAAATATGTGTAATTTCCAAAACTTTCTCCGTCCCTTCCCAGTGTGAGCCCCAATACGAGAGCAGATAACCCGAGCAAAGATCACGGACGAGGCAGCCAATAAGTTCGTTATACGAAATCAGCCGACCCTCCCGATCTCTCCCGTTGAGGTACTGCAACAACGTCTGCACACTTATCCACCTCGAGCGGCTCGAAGGGGTAGGGCCCCAAGAGCCACAAGAAAGGCGCTCCGCCTTATATTTAATCAGTCTACACACCCTTCTGTTGACTTCCACTGAGAACCTAGGCTCGCGCGGTAGTGTATATGTAATTTTACCTTCTTCCTCGTCTACTTCGAGTCGAATTTGTGAAACGCGATGAGACACATCGACTATTCCTCTACTTCTATTCTCTATCTACTTCGTGGCAGCAAGTTGATCGGGTCCAGAGTTCTCCACCACTTGGGGAAGTAAAAGTGGATGTGCCTAGCGACACTCTCTCTCTAGGACCGTGGGAGTGAAGATCAACGTCGGAGCTACCACGAACACCAGGCCCAAATGTCTAAAGGTGTTTCGGTGAAACTCTTTTGTAACTCGTATTTGCAAGACCGCGCGGAGGCCGAGGTCTTGGGCACAATAAATATCTCAAAATCGTATGTATGAAGACTGCGCGGAGGCCTCAGTCTTTGGAATTATCTCGTATGCGCAGAAATGTCTCGTTTCAACCGTGCAGAGGCCTCGGTTAGTCGAATCTAAGATGCAGTTTGGTTAGACTACGCGAAGGCCTTAGTCTATTGGAACTATCACGTATGAAATCAGATAACGTAGACTGCGCGGAGGCCTCAGTCTGGTGTGTACAAAGATACTTAGGTCGATCGGGCGGAGGCCTCGATCTTGATGCAAACTCGGTTAGGAGAACAGTGCCAGACAACCGTGCGAAGGCCGCGGTTGGTCTATCAGCAGATGGATCTTATCGTTTCGAGGTCAACTTTCTTATCCTCTATGTTTATATAGCTGGACGGATATATGAATATATGTATAAAGATGCTGCGTTAACGATATGTCTGTAAAACAAGTTGCAAGACAGAACAGATGATATGTTCGTGTTAGACTCAGGCCAGAGGCTTACCGAATCCTGTAAATAATCAGCTCAACTAAAGGCGTGGGCTGTGAGGAGATGACGATAAAGCAGCTTATCTTCTTGGATAATGATGACGATATACACAATCCTTGTAAAACAACGCATCAATCATTCGATACACCGTCTTCGACGAACAACCACACCTTCTTTTTCACATCTCTTTCCAACTTCTTTTGACAGGATTTTCACCAAGGATCTTGAACGAGTGCTTCTTCTTTCAATGGATCTCAAGGCCGACCTCTATTTGCAGGTCGGCCCTTCTTCTTCTGTTTCATTCCCACGGACCAAGATCGTGTCGCTTTGTAGTCTCATATATTCGACCAGTAGCAGCGAGACGAGGATCAGGAGAGCGACAATACTCCCCATCGGCACAGCAATTTCTGGCTTATCATCGAGGTAGTGCGATATCGTAGCGTGATGAAAGACCCTAAACTTCTGAGCCATGTGTTCCGAAGATGTTTTGACTATCAATATCGCCGTGAGAAGGCAGAGACCTACAGCGGAGGAAGCGAAAGCTAGGGTCAACCAAGGCCACCTAGGCATTCTGCCAAAGCAGGAATTCGACCCCACGTCCTCTTCCATACCACACCAGGGAGCAATTGGATCGCAATCTTTATGCTCTTTCTGGACTACAAGTTGCGCAGCATCATGACTGGCCGAGAATGGAGCCTTCTGTTGTTCGTCATGTCCAACATTCCCTTGTTGTTGAGATTGAAGAGAACTGCTTGATAATTTAGGAGCCATCATTTTGATTTTTTCTGGTTTCATATATCACAATCTTCACGGCCGCGTAGTACTATGTATTACAGGAGTAGGAGTAAGGGTGGATTTTTCCAAGAAAAGAACTAAATAACTAGTCTGCTTGAATGACACTAGTTAGTTTCTGTAAAAGAGGCAAGTAATATGGTCCAGATGTTACTAGAATTAGAAGCGCAAAGACCGAAAAATCCAACACGAAGACAAATCATGATAATTCCAGTTGTGGTGGTTGTACTGCACTCAAAGAGGTAAATCTTCTACTTAATCTATCTAGTAATGGTAAAAATTAAAAATACACAAAGAAAACAAAGATCCATCAGTTGTCATTCAGTAGTAGTAGTTGTCGCAAAAATCTTGGTAGATAATCTTCACTAGTCCTTTCCTTTCAAACTGTCAATCTTGGCACTAGAATCTTCATAGTGTTAGGCAAAGCGGAAGCGTACTGGAGGAGGAGGACATAGATCTAACTTTGTCAAAAGAACTTCGAAAGGAGCCTCCGTGATGATGGTGATGATGATTATACGGCATAATAGAATAGAGGTGGTAGTAGTTCTTTTTAGTGCTCAGCCTGTGCACTATTCTATATGACTTCGATATATTTTTATTTCAATTCTTGCGAAGCTTTGATTTCAAGCTGTGAAGGGGGACCACTCCACTAGCCAAGACGAGTCACTCCTCTACAGCCTGCCTCTGAGCAGCCACAGCTCAGAGCCACTCCTTCATATTTCCTCGAGAGCAGTCCTCAACTAGCACGTGGTGTTTACAGTGGTCACCACAAAACTGCGGCACCAGGCGTGAATCAAAATTATGACTCAACGAACTCAGTTCTGTACTCATTGATTTAGCAACTCATCCACGATTCAACTCCAAAACAATTTATTAAGTGCTCAGCACGACTACTCATGCTAGTCAATCAAAATTACCAAAACAAGATAAACAAGAAACTACTTGCTCAACATCTTGCGGAAGATCCGCAACATCTTGCACCACTGCTAGACCGTCAGCGCTTCTAAGATCCAGCATGACTAAGAAGATCCAGTAGAAGAACTTCGGAGATTCACTTCTAGAAGAACTTCTACGATCCAGTCAAAGAACTTCTAACTAAGATCCAGGAAAATAAAAACTGCTGAGACCCAGTAAAAGAACTTCTGAGATTCGGCGCCTTTCAGGATCAAGATCCAGCAAAAGAACTCCTCAGATACCGTAGATTGGTGGGACAGCTTCAAGATCCAGCGCAAGAACTTCTGAGACCCACCGGTCGTGACTTCTAAGACCCACCAGTAGCGACTTCTGAAAGGCTAGCGCATCAATTCAGCAGTAAAATCACCTTTGCACCTGCCCACGGGCTTTGTCCTCCGAAAGCATCAAGTCTTCGCTGAAGTTGTTCATCGGATCTGACAAAGCTGGCGCATCAACAACGACCAGTGACTCTTTTTTGTAGAGTCGATCCCTCATCATAATCCTTGGGTCTTTCTTTGCCTTTGCGTCTTCTACCTGTGGCCAGCAGTGGTCCTTTGTTTATTAACACGTACAAAAAAAAATCTTGACCTCCAATGTCTACTTCTCCTAGTCCTACCCTCTGTAAATAATATCCTCATCATCTTGCTCTTCATCATTCTCTTTCCTAAAAAAACTTGCTCTACAATCCACATCGCGCGTCTCTATGCAAATCTGAAATGCCATGCTTAGTGCGTCAGTCTTCTGATGTCTGTCTTCGCAGAAAAAAATTCGAAAACTCTGTCCTCGGTTTCGTTGTTTGAGATCATGTTGCTTGGAGTGTTACGATCATGATGATAAGAGAGTACAGATAATTGGTCAAAGAAGAAGAGCTACGGTTCAAAATTGGTCGAAAACATATTAGGTTACAAAATTGCTGAAAGAAGTACTTCTAGATAGATTTTGATAGATTACTCATCTCTAATGCAATTTTGGACCTTCGGGTCGCATACTGAGTACAAACTTCGCACAACAGGTTCGCTGTCCTTGCCAACTACAACTAGCATCAGCATCTCTAAATCTATCTCATCTTCATCATTATGGTGATAGCCAACTCCGTCTCCGGAACTGGATTTTGATTTTCTTCTGGAGCCAATCCACATACACTGCAACTCCAACTCCAATTTGGCATCTCCACTGTTGCTTTCCTTGATCTCCTTGAGTAGCACCGCCACCGCTTTTCTATGTTCAATAGTCCAATTGTCCAAATTCGGCGTCCTGCTGTGCTGCCTCATATCACGATTATCATTAGAGGGTAGCAAAGATCGAACATGACAAAGGACGAAACTAGTGGAGATATCTAAAACATCTCCGAAAACGGGAACTACATCCCTGAGAAGTATTTTCTTCATACAGAACTAGGGAGATGATGCAAAGGTCTTTATCTTGTGATAATGGGGATGATAACTACAATGCCTATGATTTATATACCAAACGAAAGGGGGACGGACGTGCGAGCATTTCTGTATGTCTGGTGAACAACTAGTACATCCTTGGTCCCGTCCCACCTGTTGGACAATAATGTCAATTCCGAAGGTTCAGTGTCAACCAGTTTGAGACTACGTACTGCAAGCCATAACGAAGGTGCCGCCAAAGAAGTGAATTTTGTAGTCTGGGAAATCATTCCTCAGTTGTCCGTCGGAGATGCCGCAGCCGTTTTCGCGTGCTGCGAAGGCGAGGGATTTTTCATCTGATGAACCTAGTATCGTGGTCACACTTAGAGATTGGTAGTTTTTCATTATCCATGATGCCCAAGTGGATTTTTCCCGTCTTCCCTCTTAAAGCTCTGTGAAATCAGGAGAAGCCCTTTCTTCCACTCAGCATTCCTCACGCGAGAGCGAGATAATGATAATGGAATACCACCCTTCTCCTTAAGACGTAATATTTGAATTCGAAGCGCGTGCCGGAGTCTCCTTGTCCGTCATTATTATGATTTTAGAACCCAAGGCCTTTCATTTCTTGAGCTCATTTCTTCGGAATCCCAAGAAGGATAGAGCAGGAGAAAAGAGCCGCTGGAAATGAAGCAATATTTTGAGCCTTAAATAAAAGCGTTACTACACTCGTCGCTCACACTTGCGGTCACAGGCGCCTCCATGCTGCTGCCCTCCTTCATGCTATTGGTCCACAGCGTCTGCAAGTCCGTCACACAGGCCGCAAAAGCATCTTGATTCCCTTCATTAGATATGGATGAAGTGGCCTCAGTAAAAGACTAAGTGCTGGGGCTCTTGTTATTTGTCAACGGAGCCTGTTATTAATGTTCCACTTTCCCATCGGAGGCGGGTTGCTTGGTTGTTGAAATTGCAGGAGTACTCAGTTGGGATGCTCCACATGAAATACAAAGAAATATTATGACCCATAAATTTACTTGCACTCGCCAGCTGGTTGACCTCCCTCAGCGACCAGGACGACAAGGCGGTCTGTTTCGCAAGAGATGGACTGTACGTCTTCATAGCACTCTTTACGTCTATATGCGCTCCCTTGTTAGTCGTGATTAGGATACCTAATTTTTGATGAGCCACGACAATGAGAAACTGATCAGAGCCCTAAAGCGTTCAACTTCAAGCCAAAGTTACTGACTTCGATTTCCTTTGATTGTCCCTATTTATCTCCTTAGTGCCTGCTAGTCCGTCGCGCAAACCAATGAAAAGAATCGAGTGAGAACTTCAGAATGATTAGAAACAGGGAGACGCAAGACCCAGGTGAAAAAGGCAGACACTTTAGGTATAGAAGAAATAAATTAGAAAATAGGACTCTGGACAGCTTGAAAGTCTTTGGAACTGTACCATCTGGCAACCACGTCGGCCCGTGTTCCCCGTCAAAGACGAACTGTGTAGACTGGAATAAATTGCATGTTGATACGCCCTCGCCAGCCTTGTTCGTTGCACCTATATTTCTCACTACCTTCTTGCCCGGTTTTGTACCTGGTGAGAGTGTCACGCGAGTGAATGAATCTTGCCACGACGTCTATACTGTCGAGTAACAGTGTCTCTATCCTCAAAAACGGATCTTGTAGAGTTGAGCACTCGTTTGTCTGCAGTTCTTCTAGCTCTAACTCAGCTCTAGCAAGTAACTGAAGCTTCTTGTCGTCCTCACCCTCTTGTTTCCATGGAAAAGAACTACGAAGAAAATCGTGAACAGTTAGCTGCGGTTAGTTGCAATAGTACACTCCTCGTCTTCGTGCTCATTGCGCAACTGCGCCTCTTGTGATGCGATTGTAGCCTCGAGTTGCACTGACTTGGCTTCATGCGCTTCTTTGTTTTAGAGGTGAGAACATATTTATAATCTAAGTCACAATGTTTCAAAACTACATTTTTCGAAAAGAGGCAGTGTCTTGCTCGCATGAGTAGTTGTACATCCAGGGACTTTTTACTGATAGATTACAGGAGGAACTCTCTGAATGGGTAGTATACCCAGCTACTTCGGTCTACCCTCGCGAAAAGAGACCGAAGACTGCTGGAAGATTAGGCAAGAAACACAGTCCAGAAAAACAAGGCCTATCACGAGCCATAACTTTGCTCGTGTAGTTCTTGTCTTAGTAGGCTCGCCTCGTTTTTCGCGGATTGGAGTTCTTCCGCATTGGCCGTCACCTCCTGCTCCAGCGTCGCCACTTGTCCTTGTGCATCCTTCATCTTCCGCACTGCTGCGGACTCTTCTTCCCAAGTATGCTGCCCTGCAGCCTCGCTGCTTCGTAGTGCTTCGGCTTTTTAGAGCTCGAGATGCACAGAGGAAATTAAAACATCCACCATTTACTCTACATAGTCACCGTCTGCCAACCTTAGCGAAGAAAAGGGCCGACGAAATTAATACTCTGCCGAAATGGCTAGACGCTGCACCGCCAACACCTGTGAACAATGTCTATCACAAGCCATAGCTCTTCGCCTCTACTTCTTGTCTTAGTCGACTCGCCTCTTCTGTCGAGGGTTGGAGTTCTTTCGCCTTGGCCGCCACCACCTGCTCCAGCTGCTCTACTTGTGCGACATGCCTCTTATGCACTGCTGCGGACTCTTCTGCCAGAGCACGCTGCCCTGCAGCCTCGCTGCTTCGTAGTGCTTCGGTTTTTTAGAGATGCACATACCAAGTTAAAACATCTACCATTTACTGCCAATTCGTCGCCGACGCAATTTCCCGCGAAAATGAATGGCCGCCACACTGTGGCCAGGCACACGAATTGCCTGCACTAAGGCCAAAGCAAAGCCGATAATATAATGTACAAAGACGAACCATAATTCTCCGCGCGCAGGTGTGCCGCCTCCTCGCGAGACTCTTCGAGGAGCCTCTTCTCCGTCGTGCAAAGCGACTCGGCAGCCACAGCCTGTTTGGCTTCGGGTGATTCACTCCATTAGACATGGCCAAAGGGAGTGGGACTCTACATAGTCACCGTCTGCCAACCCTAGCGAAGAAAAGGGCCGACGAAATACTCTGCCTAAATGGCTATACGTTGCACTTGCACCGCCAACACCTGTGAACAATGTCTATCACAAGCCATAACTCTTCCCTTCTAGTTCTTGTTTCAGTCGGTTCTCTTCGTCTGTCGCGCGTTGGAGTTCTTTCGCCTTGGCCGCCACCACCTCCTCCAGCTGCTCCACTTGTGCACCATGCTTCTCATGCACTGCTGCGGACTCTTCTGCCGGGGCACGCTGTCCTGAGGCCTCGCTGCTTCGTAGTGCTTCGGTTTTTTAGAGATGCACATACCAGGTTGAGACATCCAATGTTTACTTTTAATTTTGCCCAAGACCGTCGCTGAGGCTGACCCAAGTCCAATCAATTATTGAAAACGGTCCATAATTTCTCCGCCGCAGCTCTTCCGCCTCAGCTCTCTCAGCTGAAAGCTCCTCCTCCGTGCGTTGCAGTTTCTTGCTCTTCGCCACTAAGTCCTCCTCTTTCGCGGCCAGCTCTTTTTCAGCTGTCTCGGCCCTCTGCAAAGCGGCTGCGCCGTTTCCTGGTGAGATGCGTTTTGCATGAGGTAAAAGAACCTGCAACGCAGCCGGTCTCTTCTTCAATTCGAATTTTACTGAGGTCAGCCCCATACTGTTGCACAAATAAGACGAGCAAGAAACTTACAAGCACTTCTTTGAGGGATAAATTTACACACCTGCCAGCGTGTGCGCCTCTTGTGAGCCTCGTATCCGTTGCGCGTTCTCGTTCGCTGAGGTAGTCGCAATCTCGCACCCAATGCCTGTAGTTTTGTCTCGTGTTTTTTCTTCAAGGCTACAGAGTAGTCTTGTTCCCTATCTCATGGATGAGGATGGAAAAGAGGTAGATGAAGGGGTCCTATAGGTGACGCAGATAAGGATAGCACTAGGTCAAAGTAGCTACACCTATAAATACTATTCACAAAAAATATCCACTATCTAAGGACTATGTAATTGCCCATGGTAATACACCAGTGGCACCTAGAAGGTAGGAAAACACGAGTAGAAACCCATACAGCAGTCCACCTCGCGGTGCCATTTCCTCAGAATCCTAAGAAGGAACAGGTGAAAAACGGCTGACGAAAATGAACTGCGTTGAGCGATAAGAAAAGACCCAGAATAATACACGGAGTTCCGTAGAGCTGCATCATCTGCCCATCGTCTTTGAATAAAAACGAGGCCGCTACCCCTGGCTTTCCCTCGGTATCTGGTGTAGGAGATAGGTTTCAAGAATGAAAGAGAAGAGTTTCTCCACACTTGGGGGGACAGTCAAGGTGAATCAGTGTGGGTCTGGGTGTTGCCAGATGATGCAAAGTTCTCAGTTTGGGGAGGCTCTCTCAAAAAGGGGATGAGGATTACAACAGCAAGAATCTACCTCAGAGATATTTATAAGTTTTCGAGGTAGGTGCCTAAGTAACAATGAAAATGAATACCGCGACTGGCTGTGTCATCCGCGGCAGTCTTCTCCGATCGAGCCTTGGGCGGTGGGATGGCTGTCTTCTCCGTCTGCTCTGCCACCGCAGGACTCATTGGGTGTGTCCCATTGTTCACCAGCGCCTTGTTGGTGGAGCTCGCGCTCGCCTCAGGGCCGACGCTGGTACCTGCACAGAAGGTGGCACCAGAGGAAGATGGAGATGCGAGAATCATATTATTATATAAGGGAAGATGAAGTTAGCACCTAGCCCATTAGCCGAGAGAGGGCACAACAACAAGCACCTGCTTCAGAGGTATTACCAATACCAGTTTCAGATATCTATAAGGAACCACCAATGAAAATAAATACCACGACTCGTCGGGTCATCCGCGGCAGTCTTCTCCGATCGAGCCTTGGGCGGTGGGATGGCTGTCTTCTCCGTCTGCTCTGCCACCGCAGGACCCATTGGGTGTGTCCCATTGTTCACCAGCGCCGTGTTGGTGGAGCTCGCGCTCGCCTCAGGGCCGGCTTGTGCACCTGGTCAGAAGTTCAGAAGTTGACACTAGAGGAGGACGCTCAAAGTCAAATAGTAGTAGATGTAGAAGCTAAGATCTAACTCATTAGTCGAGAGAGAGACAGAAAAAAAGTAGTAGTAGAAGAAGTTTTTAGAGGATGAACAGTATCAAATAGAACTTGACACCTCCTCCCCACGGCCAGATATTCGAAAGCGACGCAAAAAATCCAAGGTCCTCACTGTCTTTGGAACCTTCGTTGCAGCTTTCTCCTCTCTTGCATCGCTTCTTGTTACTTTTAGAAATTGACTGACTGACGAGCGTGCCTATTCTTGGGGCGAGGATGGCAAGATCGTAGACGGAGACCAGACCGAGGTCTGAGACTTCTGAGAAACTATATGAGTCTGTTGCCCGTGTGCTTGTTGGACTAACTTGGAAGCCATTACTCTGAAGACATGCCATATGGCGCTTCTTTTATGTATCTTGGACAAGAGTCACTACGTTCTTAACCTTTCCACCTCCGCCAAGCCTTCCGATGACAACGCACTGCAACGAGAAGGCAAGAAGCAAAACTCGCCCGCGTCCGAAGCAAAAGGCAGCTTTACCACTAGCGAGAGGGGCCGGGGAATTTTTGACCCCCTTGGAAAGGCCAAAAGGAGGCGTCCTCCATTTTCTATCAGGCCTGCGACAGCTGACGTTCCTACCCTTCATCTTTTTCACCATCATCAAAGTAACATCTTTGGGCCGATCTTCCATATTATTCCAAGCAGTTACCTCCCATCGGGTATCAGATACCTATAATGAAGTCCCAAACGATAAGGAAGGGAAAAGCGAACGCAGTCGCAAAAGTTTAAGTCTTCGCAAAACTGTGGGCGGGTCGGCGGCTCCTTGGCCTGGGGTTGGCTCCCAATGTGCCTAACGACTTGGAGGGTGGAGGATTCTAGTGGGGTGACATGGGTGCTGCCGGGCGCCTTATCAAAGAAAAAAACGCTATCACTCTCGTTTTTTTTTGTTTTTTCCAGCTTAACAAAACCAGGAGGCAAGTAGAGCGCGGGGCCAGCGGTAACCCGATGGCTGGGGCTGAGATTCACCAAGGACAACAATGCCTCGCATTTTTGAGGCCTTTGATAGGTGGCCACGGCTGCAGGCGAAACCCGAGCCCGCCGATCAAGTTCGCAAGGCGTGGCCCTTTCGTCATTCGTAACCCCCTGCAAAGCTGTGCCGCTGAGGTGTGTGTGTGGCCGCTCAGCTCAGTCAGCGGGCCCTGAGGCTCAGCCATGTTTAGCGTCTGAGCGCGAAGGCTACAGAAGGCGAGAAAGCACCCACAAGGCGAAAGAGATGCGCGAGCACATCGCCAAACACTGCACGCACCAAAGCACGCAGACGGCGCCGCGCTTTCATCTGGTGGCTACCAGAGCGCGCCGCTTGGCCTTTCGCGTCGCTCACTCCCTACGCCTCGTCTTCGCTGCCATGGTCGCAGCCCTCTCCAACAAGTGCACCCTCTTCACCAGCAGCAACGCCTCCCCCAGCCATCTGCCTCGCCTTGGAGGGGACGACTCCGCCGCCCACCTCTCCTCCGGAACAGAATGGGAAGAAGCTGCCACCGCTTTGCGGTGGTGTTCTCTTCTTGTTTTCTGGGGTTTCTATGCTGCACACTCCGCACATTCTCCCAATGGTGACACTCGCGGCCTCGCTCTGTTCTCATGCATGCGCACCAAGAAGATGGCGAACGGCTTTGCTTGAGATGCTTCAGCCGCAAGGCAGCCCGCTGGGGCTTGGCGCGGCGCCTCCGTGCAATGTCGTCACGCGGACCACTTGCAAGGGCCAAGTGCCAAGAAGTGCGCTGCTGGGGGTTCATGAAGATCCGCACCAGAGTACCCACGCAGGCGACCTCGCTCAAACTGGCTAAAGGCTGGAGGCAGCTAAGGAGAACCGCCGCGAGCTGTTGGCCAGAGTGGTGGGGGGAGGGTGGTGGAGGGGGGTCCTTGTTTTCAAAACAGGCAAAATATAACACTTTTGACGCACTGGTTTCCGCTGATAATTTTTTTGGCGCCCGAAGACCTTCGCGAACCCTACAAAAGTCCCGCCCGAAGATCGAGAATCTAGAGGGCCTACAGGTGACACAATGCCACTCGAATGCGCGAAGGCGTTCTCGTTTTTTTGCTGGAGTGTTTGAGGGGGTCGGCGAGGGGGGTCGCCTGAGGTCCTCCGGCATTTCCAAGCAAGGCGATCCACCTCAGCAAGTGGACACGGCGTGGCCCGCCGGCTGGTGTCTCAACTCAGCAAAAACCAGCAGCGCGAACGCCCCAAGGCAAAGGAGCCGGAGGAAGCTCGGGGGCCAAGTGTTCGCCTTTTGGCTTGCGAAGCTAGCGAAGCCTTCGAAGCTTTGAACAACGAACGGAGGCACCCTGTGGCACCAACGTGAGGCCCCAGGACTCGCGACGCGTTAGCATGTCCGCCGTGACTGAGCTGGGGGGAGCGGCGCGAGCAGTCTGCCACCTCATCAGCCTGGCAAACCTTGAAAAACACTCCCGACTTGGATGTGTCTAAGCCTAGCCAACTGCCCCGAGCAGAGATGGCGCGCGAAGATGGTGGCAGGATCTGGCTGCTTTCAGCTCGCTAGCTTGCGGCCCCGCTGCTTGAGATTTTTGCAGGTCCTTCACCTGATTCACATGCCAGCGCCTGGGCGGCCATGCTCTGAGGCTCGTCTGCTTGCTACCACTCTGAAGCCCCCGGCGGTTACTCGCAGCCCCTCCAAAGCCACCCCCGGAGCCACGCGGGGCCAGATTGCTCCCGCGGTGCGTCGCTTTGTGGTTTATGCCGTGCGTGCTTGGGCTATTTTGAACCGTTAGGGACATTTGGCCGGGTGGTGGATGTGGTTACGAGGTGGCCCCGCAGTCGCGGCTGGTGGAGGCTCGGCGACCTCATCAAGGAAGGGCCACGCCTTCGCCGTCCATCTTGGACCGTCTTGGGGGTATCGCCGTGCCTCCGATCGTCTACAGCCATCTGGTGGCACCATATCCAGGCAAAGAGTGAGCCTCCACGGTTTGCCCCTGCCGCTCTCCCCCTTCCAGCGTCCAAGTACCGCCCCGCACTCAGTGCGCAAAGCTCAAAAAATCAAAAAAGCGAGAGTGATAACGTTTTTTCCTGCGATACGCCTAGGTCTAGTACTATAACTCAGAAACATTTGACAAGAGGCGACTCGAGAGGTGGGGAAGACGAAGAGTGGTGGAGAAGTAGTCAGATAGGAGAAGCGATAACCGATAGCGACCGCGCCAGCAGTTACTTTTCTGGGTACGAAGAGAGAGCCAGGGATGCTACCACGAACGCCCTCCGCAGTAACATCTCCCGGCCCCATACAATTTGTGGCCAACAAGAAGCACGCGAGCACCCCCACCGCCTGGCTAGGACGCCTCGCACACCTACCAAGATCCCAAGAGCAGATATTTTTGTCATTCTGTTTCCTTTCTTTTCTCGTAGTGTCCCTCGTTTTATTCTCTTTGCCTCCTTGCTTCTTCTTCACCGCCACGCATGCCACCTCTAAGACGTCTCTGACCCTCTTTCACTTCTTCAGTTAAACTAAGGGGCCGCAGCCACTTTGCTGGCCTTATTCTATCTAAAAGGACACGTCAGAGAAAGCGAGCGCCAAGACATCAACGAGGATATGACAGGGGAACAACGTCCCCAACAGTGACAAACCAGAGGGGAATTTCGCACTTATATTTGAAAAATACTAGACACTTCCTAGGGTGTGAAGATAAACTCCAAGATTTCTACAAGAGAGATCAAGGAGAACGAAAATCTAGAACAGCAAAGGATAGAGCCTCTCTTCATAAATAGCACTTTGAGTAGCCTTGTTTTGCTTGTTTGTTTTCTCCGAAATAGAAATAGTGCGAGCTCTCGTTTCTTACTTTTGGCGAGTTTCACCAATTTCATCTCTGTCCACCTCCACCGACGGACGAACACGGTTCACGCTCTCCTATACTGGCTGAGAAGCGGAAGCATCAGCATCACCATGTCATGTCTCTGACGGTCATGTCATGTCTATCGCCTGTAGTCCTGAACTTTCTGACGCTGATGTCCTTGAGCAACAGTTCATACCGACAGGACGGCTCCTTTGAATTGTTGTCCTCGGAAACACTAACTCATGATCTGGGGAAAGGTTCCCCTTCTACAGGTTCTTGGTAACGTTTACAACAACATAATCATGGATCTTCGTCTTCGTTATTTGTGGTATGACTGAGTAGCGAGGATCGTGCGCAGTTAGATTCCATTCCATGGAGTTTAGCACTGGCGAGCATACGAGCCCCCAGACTCTACGATGCTATGATCCTGAGTCCTCAAATAAATGAAGTGACAAGGGTCCAGGAATGGAATACAACTACTGCGCAAGATCCTTGCTACTTATACCACAACTAACGAAGACGAAGACCCATAGTATCCGAGCCATGTAGTTGTAAATTATCCAGGTAATATAAATCTGAAGAATACAAAGACAACGGCCATGCGCGTAATGGCAATATCGAATCAATCTACAAATACGATAGCTATCGTTTTTTTTAATTCCGTAGGGGAACTCATTAAGATTTATAATTGGAGTCAGAATTAGTAACTTAGGATCAAAGAAACACTCAAAAAGCAAAGCAGCAACAATAATAATCAACACGTGACGTCTGGTAAAAATCGAGCAAGGCAAGTAGGAGGATGGATAGTTTTTCTTTCTTCAGAGTTCTACTACATGCGTAGAACCATTACAATGCGGCAACTCTTAGGATGCTGCTGGCTCTCCAGTGGAGGACACCGCAGTGACAAGCGCATCCACCATCGACTGGTTACGCTGCACCTTCGCTAAACGGTTCGAAACGGCAGAGGATAACTGTAGTTTCAGTCACCAGTCTAATTGTGGTTGAAAATACAAGGAGAGGAGAAGAGAATGGTCTTCCTCGTTAGTTACCAGTATGAATGTAGATCTAAATAAAACAAGAAGCATCTCTTGATCGATGAAAAAAAAGTACTTGCTGTTGCAACTACTCGTACTCACTGTTCCTGTTGTCTAAGAAATTATAGTAGTAGTACCCAAGGCATAAACTGCGTCGCCACAATGCGTCTTTCTATGGATGGGAAGGAGCCGTGCTGCGCCTTGAGACTATGAACCGCATCGCCGCACAGGTCCAGGAGATACCGTTTCGTGGCAGCCTGACACATAATTTTTCTCCTGACTTCCCCTTCTCGCCACATAACCCGCTTTTTCCTCTCGGCCTCGGTAGCTTCCATTCTGTTGTTCGTTGGGAGAAGATCTTTTGGAGATCATGGGAGAAGATTGATTTTTTGGATTTGGAGATCAATCTATGATCATGGATGTGTGAAAAAACTGGAGGAATGTAAAGAAAGGGCGAGGAGCGAGGTGATCATCATCAAAACTAGCTCAACTACCAAGGGACAAGAACAGCAACAAGGAACTACAACATCAACGTCCACGTTATTTGTGTTGGGATATCAACATCAACATCTATATGGTATTCATTCATACATACCGTGATCTTTCCTCTGCTACTGCTGCTAATTCCTCGCTTCGGCTGGCCATGCGTGAATTTACCCACTTCTCCTTGTAATCGGCCAGAGCACTCATTTCAAATTCCTCTTCCACTTCCATTTGGGCTTGCTCTATAGTCTTGGCGACGAGAACCTTTGTTATTTGAGGTTGAATCTGCTAGGGCGATGTCATGCTCATCATCATGTTAAGAAGAAACATCTACTTCAATTAGAATATATTATAGCAAAGTACTATGTTTCCAATTTATTAAAATAGCAAAGTATTTAAGTAGAAGTAGTAGTTACTAAGTAACAGCAACTCTCTTACTTTCTACGAACGTTGTAGCAGTCTGCACTTCGTTCTTCATTACTGATCATCAACAAAAACAATAGTCAAGTACTCAGAACAACGATTAATCGTAGTACACTCGCTAGCGGCTCCACTTCCCTATCAAAGTCGAACAATGAAGCCTCTTCTATGTGTGTTGAGGCATCTACGCCGGTTTTCTTCGGCACAAACGGCTTTGGTGGTTCCTTCGGTTTTAATGTTAGAGCTAGGCTTTTGGTGTTCGTTTATCCCGTTCGTTATACCTTTCCCCCTTAAGAAAGGCAAAACGAACGCTAAATAACAGGTGGAACACCTACTTTAACCTGCCCTTAATAATGCGTCTGTCTGCGACGATGCAGCCGATTGATGCACCAGTCTTGGCTTTTCTTCGAGATGCCTGAGTGAAGGTGATGATGATGATGTTAGTCGATTCGGAGAAGAACTGTTGTACCTACCTCCGATACCTACAACAACAAACCTCCGATACCAAGTAACTAAACTATAAACTGGTAAGCAAGAAGATATTAAGAGCCAAGAATTGCGGGCAGTAATAGGTTATCATTTACTTATAAAGTTTGAACACGTTGTACTTCCCATTGTACAGTTATTATCTATAAAGTCCTGGTGTACGACGACCCGATCAACAACATGAGATCAGAAGTAGTGGAGAAAGTGAAAGGAATGGTCCTAAAGCATTTTTGATTTTTGTACCTCACAAGATCCACAGGTATTCTTTCCGGCTTCGGCAAATCGATAGCAAAAGGATCCACGGCTTTTGGCCTAGTGCCTGCCCGTCTTGTTTTCGGACTCGCCCCTCCTCGCTTTGGTGACCCACTGTTGTAGGTGCTGCCTCTGTATACCTGTCGTGGGGGCAGCGGTTTGAATTGTACACTATGCAGCGACTTTAAGTATGATCATACATAAATCTACTGCATGATCATGAGGTTTCCATCAACAAGCCAGCAACTCAAAATTCCAGAAAAACAACACGCAAAGTGCTGCAGGATGAGCAGCATGTGTAAGTAAATAACAAGTAGTACCCTCTTATCCTGATGTATATTCGCGAAGAAGTTATCTGCCATCTCCTCTCGAAATTTTGGCTGCGCAGCAGCTATCTGCGCTTGTTGTCCCTGTTGTGACACCATCTTGTTCAAACTTGATGGATTAGTATGCCAATACCCCCGCTCGTCTTCCTTGTTATATAATTTGTCGCGGATGTCGCTGCCGTACTCGTGGAGCGACTACGTTATTGGTGAGTTTGTTTCGTTTCGTGAGAGCCACAGTCGAGGTTGTCGTGTAGATGTCGACAAATGCAAATTATCATCCACCGCTTCTCGCTTGAGACTAGATCAAATTGCTAGTGCTGAATGCTTCTCGCCTCTCAGATGGAGATACCGTGCTCGTAGCGGTATTTTAGACCACGACAAAAAAAACCTCTGCTTCACTTCTACAGGCACTGCGATTGCATTATGAGACTACCTGCTCTTATTGTCAAGGAAGTTCAAGTTGTACACTCCAGAGCAGCCGCTCCTGCGTACAAAGGAACGACTCACCTTTGCCAGCACGGATAACTAGATGTTGACTTGAGGTAACGCGGAGAAGGAGTACGTTCGCGTACTTCGACAAAGTGCCGTGGCAGCCCGTGACTGCCCCGGATCGGCAAGGCACAAGAAAGTGCCCTGGCCGAAAGGCATGTTTCTAAAAAGTTATCGCACGATTATTGGTCCAATGGACTCAAGAGAGTACACGCAATTGGAGTTGTTTTCTACTATTTAATTATCACTACGACCTTCGTCCTTTCTACATGTACGTGTGTTTCTTCTACTCCGAGTTATCGTTTCGTTTTACAACGCGAACGCCATCGCTATGCGAGAATTTACTTTTTCCTTTTCCAGTGCCAGCCGACTCTCAGCATATAGCCATTTTCCGAGTTTCCTTTTCTTAAGCCGAAAAATCTTGTTCTCACGAGTACGAGACACTCTCTCCGTCACTCTCTTGCCTATCGACGGCCCTTCGTGAGAAGCATATAATGTGGGAATTATCTACAAATGGGCATTCATATTCATTGCCTCTATGGAACTACATTTTCAGGTCTACAGCACAGCATTTACAGTGGTTTACTATTTTGGGGAATAAGGAAAGTCATGACATAGGACCATGACATATTTCTAAGAGTAAATGGAATGAGGCTAGTACTACGAGTACGAGGTTCATGTGAGTACTCAATGAAGATACAGGAGATCGATCGTGTACCAAATAGATGAAGATCAAGATTTGTTGATGGAAACTATAATATATAAGCGGAACAACCGATGGAATCATGGGTGTTGATATGACCACTTACTATGACAGCAGCTAGTACATTAGATTTAGACGATAAGCAAAGCAAGTGCAGGTATGAAGTCTCCCTTTCTATTGCAACCCTCCCGGACTCTTCCCGATCTGCGAATCTCTAGTATCTCCAGCCGAATTTGTAATCGCTATCGGAATAGTCATTCCTCTACTTGCTGGCCTCGAAAGACCCTCCATACCTGGAGGAGGTGTATCTACAGACGCTTCTGGTTGCACGACGACAGAGGTAGAGCCAAGAGCGCCAGGACTAGCAGTCCCGTCTGGACTGGTGGCGCCGGAAGCCATAGCAGCCAATAATCTTAGAGGGGGTATAATTGAGTGTGATACATATTGATTCCATCAAGGAACATGAGGCAATACAAATTGACTCCATCCATCAGGCGATACATCATAGTCTCAGAATCATTTCAAGAACGAAAGGAAGTAAGACACCTAATCTATCAATGAATGTTGATCTATTTATGAACAATGAAAGTAAAGCTAAACAAGATGAGTTATCGAGTGAGCCATAGCATCGCCTCTGCCTTTGCTGCTGCACCAACATGCATATCTGCTCCAACATCCTCCTCATCCGAAGACTCCCAGAAGTCTTTTCTGACCACAGCGATTGGTCTTTTCCACACTGCACTATCAGGCAAGTTGATCCACGCACTAGCCTGAGCATTGGCTTTGTAGAAATTCCCAGAAAGGATTAGAAGGGGGAAGGCAGACGGGTAGTGCAGTAGGACTTTTTGCGTGTTATCGTGATTTTGATGTCAGTCTGTATCTGTTGTCACGCAATCCTCGACCTTGGCAAAGCGGTCGTCGAAAATACCTCCAATGAATTGTCAGAGTAGATATAAATAATTCCAATCATAACAGTATGTCCTTGAACCGGTGCATGCGAGCCAAAGGGGCGACAACCACACGCACCTTGTCCCAATCCTCTTCGTAACCTGAGTATTATCCTTAATTGCAACGATGTAACTACTTACTTATATATAATATGACATGATCGAACATCATGGTTCTTCAACATCAAGATCAGTGTTCATGGTAGTACCATTCGTGATCCTCGTATCCAGCACTGTGGCACACAGCTTCCCAGGTCCACCCGCAGACTCTGACGCCACCACCCACTGACTCATCAGATTCGGGTCTTTCGCTGACCTAAACTGATACCAAAGCCGAACCTTTCCCACGTCAGGCACCCAATGCACGCCAACTGCAGACTCTCCTACAATCGAAACGTCGACTAGAGTGACTCGTTCGTTGTTGTTCCCACCCTGTGCTTTCTCCAGTTGCATCACCCATAGAGGGTTTAAGCGGACCACATCGAACTTGGTTTTGGCGTACTTTGGAACCTATGGTCGACGCGATGTTGTGAAAAGAAGACATTATAGATGAAAAACGTTGATGATGATGATGATGATGATGATGATGATGATCATGATCATGATGTACTAGATCATTTTGCTCAATTGTTGTACTAACTAAAAAGTACTTAGTTATTCTGATGTAGAAATGATCGAGTCCCAAGTAGAAGAAGGAGAAAGAAGCCTAGCAGATCCTAAAATAATGCCTAAGAAATAGTAATGTTGGAGTGTTTTGACAGTGGTAAGTTCAGCAAGAGGAGAGGGAGAGTTCAGCAAGTAGAAGATTCCTAAAATAATGCCTAGAAGATAGTAAGTTTGCTTGAAGGAATAAGCCTAAGAATATTCGAGGGATGAAAGCTACTAGAAGCCGGTTGATGTTTTACTTAAGTACCTCCTTATGCGTCAGGCAGATGCAGAATTGAGAATTCTTTTTAAATAACGGATCCGAAGAGTAGACGTGTGTATGCACAAACGGGTTCGAGACGCGCGGATCATTTGGCAGCTTCAACATCAGAAAAATGTTCCGCTCCGCACAGGGGTATGAAAGAAACATTGGGTCGTGATGGAGGAGGTGTCCTTCTTGAGAAAGGATGAAGATGAACTCACTTTTTACCCATTGAAATCGATGCGACTTCTTGTTGTTCAAGAGAAATGGGAAGGGGCGATAGTTGTATACATAATATTAGTCATTTGACTTATCTCTATCTGGACAACTAAGTAAGCAATTATTCCGTTTCGGAATCCCTGCGGCCATAGGCATTCCAATCTTATCGTCCTCTCGGCTACGCGTTTCGGCTTAAAACAACATGCTCGATCCACTGACTCCTTCTCGGTGTAGTCTACTAGCATCAACCTTCTGGGATCCTTGACGCCACCTGCGCCAGCAGTTGCACATTTCACCAGCGCCAGCATCATTTTTGGACAGGTGGAACTCTCCAAGGCAAACGTGTTGCTCTTGAAACCTTGCCGCAACCTCAGAGATTCACTTTCTGGATGTCCAATCGAAGCACCTTGTTCGGCCTTCGGTCGGTATCGCCAAGTACAGTCAATTGGCTTGAAGTCCTGCATTGCGTCTGACGTGGGCCACTGGATTAGAGCTAGCGATGCGGCATCCTTCTAAAATCTAAATATTCTTGCCCTTGGCGTCCTGTAGTTCTCGGCTAAACGTCCTTGGCATCCGTCTAAGCATCCTGTCGGCTACGAAAAGACTCCAGGGCAAATTGACTATACTGACGAGGGTCCACCGGTCTACTGCGCTACTACTACTACTGCTACTACTCCTACTACCTACTGCTACCTACTACTACCTACTACTACTAACTAGCCTTAACTGGATAGTAGATGGCGCCTCTGCAAAACCGAAAACCACCTCAAGGGGTTTCTTCATGTAGTAATGGGACTTCATATCGATCGCGCGAGTTCCGCCAGTATGGTCCCACTCGACAGCAGCAAAATCCTCTCGTTGATCTAGTTTGACCTGGAGGTGGGATCCGGATATGGAGAATGGATCATAAGATTAAGCAGATGTGTCTACCTGTGTTTCATCTAAAAATCTGCGCAAGCAACTTAAACGACGACTGCCTTCAGAAACGACGTCGAAGCTGCTCCTGTGTATAGATAAAACAAATCTTCCACGTGGAATAGAGCTAAGTACATTTAAAAACTTGGATGGATCGGATGGACTTCCCACCATTTCAGGTAGGATCGGAAGAATCAGGCGGGTCCATCCGATCCATCCAAGTCCATCCTACATCCGTTCTATAAACTACTCTATTTATTATACCTTCGTAATGGTTCCGCAACGTCCAACTGGTATCACCAGTCCTTCATTCGGATACATGATTTCCTTCACCGCTTCAACCCGGTCTCCAGCATGCAGATCGTGGGACATGAATTGATGTAGTTGTTCGTAGGTCAGCACGGATTTCTCCATAGCAAAAAAAGCGTCAACCTTGGAAAAGTCATACTTTTTCCGCTTCTTGGCTATGTCAGCGTCCGTCTCCACTGGGGCCTTGTCGCTATCATCAAATTCGTCATTGGCATGACTGGTATTAGAAGAAGGGCATCCGAGAAAAATGCGCCAAGAAACCTTCTCCTACTGGTACAACTAAGAGTCCGAGTAGACTTCAATTTCATCTTCAAATGTTTCGCAATTTTCTATCATTATAGCATGAGTCTTCATCAGCTAGACCCAGAGCTACAACTACAACAACTACTTACATCGACTTCGATTACTTACATATGAAGCCAAAATCTGTTATCATTATCGTACTTTTCTACTTAAGAAACTTGATAATGATAACAGATTTTCGTTTCATATTACATCGTCGATTATAATTCGTTCGAATACAACAGCCTCAGAAATCATGTCCTAGTCCTCCCTCAATCGTGTCATAAGTCTCCCAGGAAAGAGATCTCGTCTGTGAGAATTTCCCTGTTCTGCCAGGAAAGCCCAGAAGAACTCCTTCTGCTTCGTCACTTTTCCATATGGTGGATCGCTTGGTGGCCAGTAGGGTCTGTCCAGAATTAGCTTTCCGGTGTTCCATAATTTCATGCGCTCACGGGAGGATTCTAAGTCGCCTTTATCGATACCTAGGAGAGGAGTTCTTCCCTTTAATGTGGGGAAGAGAGGGATAAACAACAAAAACAACAAACACCTCTAGGATAGCGATAGGCACAATCATCATTATCTTTCATCATCATCATCATCACCGTTTGTTGCCAAAGAACGTTCTCGTTGCTGTCAATATCACTCCTATGATCATCCAGCGTCACATCATCACTGTTATTCCTAAAAAATATGTAGAAAGTGAACAAGTATTTACGCTTGTTCTGTACGTATTAAACGAACCACATCCACAAAAAGTACGCTTGTTCTGTACGTCTCAAAAATGTACCACATCCACAAAAAGCAAAATGATCCAAAAATAAAAAAATCCACAAAGAAAAAAGTACGATTCGATCTTTCGCGTAGTGTGTTTAATGAGAACTGTTCCTTGAACTGCTTCCTCAAGGCCCTCGCGTGGGCAATGAGAGCCATCGGGTCTCCCTTCCCGAAGGTCGGGAGCATACTCGTGTCCTGCGCACGCGCAGCTGCAGCCGCCATTTTTTTGGAAACTGAGTAGTGCTACAAATTATACGAGGAGGTGGTTATCGTTGCTTTTTCTTGACGAGGTGGTTATCGTTGCTTCCAGCTGAGTACGTCTTCTAGTTGTTCTAGTGCGAAGGTAGTTTGAATGCCTGCGTCCAACGAAGCAGGTTTGACGAGGTAATAACTCCGACGACCGTAGTTCCTTCTACTTCAAAGTAGGTTTAGTTCGTGCTCGTAGAAACCAGCGAGAGGATCGTTGGTACCACCAGGAACAATTCGTTAGTACAAATCTGTGTGGGGGTCTCCCTTAGCGCGACTGCGACTCTTGAATTTCCTATGAAGACCCCCACGGCATGCAATGTTGATCAGCATAGGAATCCAAGAGCAGTGGAGGTTGACTGTCGGAAGTGGGAGGGCATTTTGTTTGATGAGAATAAATGAGCAGGATACATAGATATGGTTATGGTTATGGATTGCAACAGTGGCTGTAATATGAACAAACAGCACCAAGCTTCAGAGTCTATCGATAAACCTGAAGCTTTTCTTGTACTACAGAGATTCTAGCTGTCGTTGTCTCACATACCCACCCGTCCACCACCCTGAGCCACTCCCACTAACAGGCACATTGCAGAGAAGCAATCATAGAAGAAGATGCGCATGCGAATTATTCTCGATTACATTTTTTGGTAGCTTAAGCTGTCACTGCTCACTAGAATCTGAGCTCTCCTTTCCCTCTCGGATTTTCATGCGTTTTTCTGCGATTTTCGCGCCACTCAAGCTCAACATTTTCAACATTGCATAAACTACTTGATGTAAAACAACGAAAACGAACATCAACATGGATTATTACTCCATGAAATATCTCGCCGGACGCATTTGCCGAACGACGAGACCTTCTCGAGGTCGAGCTTTTGTCGTTTGTTTTATCATCTATTACATCCTCTTCTGTACAATGTTCGATCCCTTGTCTCCTCATCGAACGAGTCTAACTTCTCGGAAAAAACATAGACTGACGTCTAACGAAAAAAGAATGAGAAAACCCTCACTTCCTCGACCTCCTCCAAGGAGATAGAGAGGGAAATCCTTACACAGCCGTATAATGACATACGACAACGATACAACGAGTTGGGATAAAAATGAGATCTTCTTCTTCCTTGGTAGCGCTTGGTGTAGCCTGCTCGACTTTGTGACGAATTCTATTATCATCTTTAGTATCCTTCTTCTGTACAACGAATTCTTATTTCTCCACCTAATATATCGATCCTCCAAAAAAAGACGTCTTCAATGCCGAATCCTCCCTATCTTCTACTAAGGATATCGGCATTGATATTTACACGAAGATTATCGATATCGATATCGAGTCCGCGTATACTTACACGATCGATCGCACCCAGCTGACCATGGTCGAGAAGATCGAGCGGGAGGAATCCGGGAAGACAATCAAGTCCTCACCGTAGTTTTTCTTAGAGATCCACCATATGGATTTGAGATGAGATTGAGGTTTCCTAATAGCTTTTTGCTCTACTTGAGGACACATCGACTACTTCTAGTAGTAAATCAATCATCATTAACATTATCGATCCATCTTTCACATAATCTTGCTTCCCGCTACGCCGACGCGGATGATCGAAATCTTCTCGCCATCCAAGGCATGCAACGCCTTCGCCGAGCTCCCGGTGGAGAGCAAGCCAACACTGTAGTAGCCTGTCGTGGATATTATCATGGGGTTGCGAGTATTGAGGGACGTTTGTTGCTCGTCATCAATGGACGAGAAGCGGGCGTAAATGGTTTTTGGTTGGTAAAAAACAACTCGTTGCTGCAGTGAGTGGTTGGTATTGGTGGAGTTTTTGAAATTGAACGTCTACTATATATTAAGAGGTAGTGTGGCAACCAAGAATAGTTATGGGAAAAATCAAAATTTTCAGACTAGTAGACCGTCGAGTCACTCGAAACTCGATATTTGGGCTACTCTACTAGTAGTGTAGTATGTTTAGATCATAAGTACCAGAGTTCACAGCCACGACACTGTTAAGGCGGAGTTTCTCGTCACGCGGATGCGCGCCATAGGCGTCCTTGATATCCACCAAGCTGTCGACGTGGGCGACTGCCTTTTGTTGTTAGAAGCTGGAAAAGCGGGAGGGGGAAACAAGAGATCAGCTCAGACTAAAAACACGAAGAAATGATCTTCTTCAGTACAACTAGAGGCGTACTTAGAAGTAGCTCGTTTTCATGCCATACTCATTCTGCGGGATAAAGGCGTCCAACAACGCAACCTGAGCATCACCGGAGTTGGCATAGGCGTGGGATTGGAAGGAGACGCCAGTCGACTCAGAGTCCAGGGGCTGGAGGACCAGCAGGAGTGTGCTGTCCTCTCGCGGAGTGTCCTGGACCTCGAAGGAACCTAGAACGGGTCATCGTCGTTAGGGGAATCTCGTTCTTAATAGGAGAGGCACCACTCGCAGACAGTCATCTATAATTTTAACATTCTACTCAACTTGAAGTAACTACGAGATCTACTCTAGAATCAGATGAAGTACCCAACAGCACTTTCTTTTCGTTCGCGTAGAAGTCGATTTGCTGTCCTTGGCCCAGAGCTGTGTTGGCGATTTCGCCACACGTCTTGTACGGTAAGTTCAGGCTCAAAACCTGTGTCGCCTCAGCAAAAGGGTAGGCATTGCAAACACGCAAAGTGGTTGTGAACTTCAGCCGTTAGAAGAACGAGCGAGGTTGGGGATTCATCACGTGCTTCTGTAGTTAGTCGTGGAAATTAAAACATCAAGAAGAAGAAATCATGTAAGAGAACACGCTAACACTGGTGATTATAAGTAACAGAAGTAAGCGGCCATAAAGAGAAGTCGCAATATAGCTGCTCTCCTTTCCTTGACCATCCGTGACGATTTTGGTGGTGCGCAGAGCAACATTCTTCACGTTCAAAGCAGTCGCTGTGCCAGCAAGCCCAAAGAGGGCGAAACGAATCATAGCAGAGGTGGACATCATCTTTTGGTTTATCCGATCGAAACAATCGAATTACTGTAATTAAAGCTCGGCCTTCAATGGTCATCATGACTCGGAACGGAAGGGACCCCCTTCGAAGCTCTCCCCTTTCCCTTCGTTTTCCCCTGTTCTCTCAAGGGGTCGCCTCTTCGATCTCAGTGACCCCAATCTCGATGGTGACCATTGAAAGCTGAGCCTTAATGTAAGCACGTAGTGGACAATTCGTAGTGTTCCGTTGTGAGGATACTCTCTCAGACAATAGTCGTCTACGTCTGGCAGGAACAGGAAGGAAGTGAATGGTTGATGGTCATACAATTTACAGATAGAGAAGGAGAAGGAGAGGTACTGCAGAAATAAGAACCAGCATGATTTATGAAGTTCCAAGAACTCGTCACATAGAAGGATCCACTTCTCAATAGAGACGTCTTGTTTCTACTGAAGGTTACAGCTGTTCGCCGTACTACTGACAGTCACAGTTGTTCAATCCACACAAAGAGGAGTACTGACAGTCAACGCACACTAATAAACGGGTCTTCATTTCTTCCCTCCACGATGAACACAAGCGAAATGTCGAATCCTCAGCAACATAGAGCAGAAGCATCTACAAAAAAACTACAATTTTCGTTTTGATTCTCTTTGCAATCGCACGTGGTGTCTGTCTTTCTATGTACCGAGAGAAAAATAATTAAACATGCACAAGCCTGAACAGTGACTACACTGCAGTGGTGCAAAGAAGGAAAAGAAGAATACGAGAGGAGACAACTCCCTACGACTATTAATATGCTGCTAGCATGATAAGCATAATAAAGCCAAATGGACTTTGGAAAAAACCATAGAAAAGAAGATGAAGGACAAGAAAAGTAGTAAGTACTAGTGGCAATTCTACACTCTCTTCGAGCAAACCAACCAGTAGTCTCCGTTGGAGACTTTAGAGCATTTGACATCGTTGAATTTGCCATCGGGTTTCAAGACTGCGCAGTCTTCGCCAGCGCCATCGTCGTTGGGCTCGGCACGACCCCATTCTAGACCGCCCTTCTGACCCTCATGTTAGAGCAGCTACAGCGTTTGCATCCTCCCTCACGTCCCAGTAGTAGTTATTCATATTTCCCCTTATAAGTAGTTGTACTCTGCTCGTGCTCTTAGTAGTTGCCTTAATCATGGAGAATCGGCAACCCGTGTTCGGTATGCGCCCACTCACCCTCAGTTATGGCATCGGTGAAGCCCAGAGCAACCGCATTTTGTCGCGGACCACCAACTAGCTGCTTCACAAAGCGCATCTGCGAAGGGAGCTCGACAGTCGCGGGAGGATGAAAGGGGCGGGTTGATGTTGAGGCGACTATGTAGCTGCTGACTCTATGCAGCTGCGGAGTATTGCATGTAGGTACTTAGCTGAGAGTTGCTTCTAAATCATGAAGAGAAGTTGCTTTTTGCTTGGTTTTAGCTTCTAAGTTGTGCGTCAAGTCAATCCCCAACTACTCCCATCTTCTAAAAAGAAATGCAAATCCACCCTCCACGTCCATAAAGATCAGATCCCAAAGGACAGCTTGTCGCTCCCTCGTAACCGGGAGCAAATCGGTATCCAATCCCAGCAACCATGGTCCATCCAGGGCCAAGGTTATTAGGCTCGTCCCCAAAGGCACCGCCACCGACTGCTGTGGAAGCCTGGACTTCATAAACTGCATTACGCCAGCCGCCGCCGCAGTGCTTAGAGGCGTGTCTATGTTGAATAGGCTTGACCTTGTTCTTCATTTGAAGATCCCTACTTGCCCATATCCTGCTGAATGATGATGTCCTCGTTTTGCAGGAGTTTTCTCCTGATATATATTCCGCTAAGGGGGCATCTTCCGGAGGATGAGTTTAGACTACTAACTACAACCAACCAACCGACCGACCAACCAACCAACCAACCAACCAAAAGACCGTCGACGTCGAGTAAAAAGTAAGAACCGCCATAAAGTATCCATCATCCCTTTTTCCGGACAAGCTATTGCCCTCCGCACATTCATACTTGCATTCACTATCCGCCTTACGTCCGTAGCGTGCGAAGTCGGCACCACATGCACATTCCTTGCCGTTTTGGAGAGCGAAGTATTCAGATTAGAGAGACCACCAAACGAGGCGCAGCTGTCGGCCCAAACAAGTTAGCTGTCTAAGTACTCAAGTTGTGCAAAAGCAAATGAAGATGCGTCAACGAAGATGAAGACAAAGTTGAGGCATCATACAGCATCATTCATGCTTTTCTTTGCAACACTGCCTATTTCAATGAATCAATGTCAATTATGTCAATTTATTATGTCAATGAAGTCAATTCTGTCAATAGCATCAAGGTCAAGACGAGCCTTAATTATGAGGTCCACCTCCAATATGAGGGTCTGTGCACGTCTCCATACACGACTGGAAAGTGTGGTGTTTGTCCACATGCATCTCCATCGCTCGCTCTCCTTGGTCTTCGTAACAACCGATGTACTTGACGGTAGCTGTGATTTTGTAGAAGTGGAAGAAGTAAGAAAAGGGTCTACTTGGTGGGGAGAAGTAACGGGTTAAGCGTGAGGTAAGTGCCAGAACGGTAAAGGCGAGAGAGGGAGACAGAGAGAGAGAGAATAGTAGTTGTAGAGAGAGAATACTTTTTCATTGATTTAGTAAGGGAGTATGATCCTGATCATGTAATCGAAGATCGAGAAACAAAAGGAGCGTGAGTGTCAACATCGTTTTCTAACGCCAAAATCAAATCTTAAGCCGATATACGTTCATGCTCGTAGACGCTGTTTCGCCATCCGGCGCCGCACTTTAGACTACTGTCATGCTTACAAGCTTTACAGTCTGACTCCGGTTTGGATGTGTAGTCTATCTTGTTGCCGCACCAGCATTCGTGGCCAGCTTGGATCGCGAAATACTTGTACTCTGCACACCAAATGTCGCAGCTCTCAGGCGTTGCTTCCATTCTTCGTAGGTTAGAAGAGAGAGAAAGTGGGATTGGTAAGGTGAACTATAATGGTTTGATTGATGGAAGCAGGTGAAGGAGGTGGGAAGGACAACAGATACTAAACAAACTTTTCTGTAGTTCAGTGTTGCTGTCTGGAAGTTCATGTCTAGATCTACGCTGTCTTCTGACGAAATCATAACCTTCGTTTTAGCCCTTACGGGCATCACCAGATTAGGCAAATCGCGGTCTCCGTTGTCCTCGAAGCAACCCACATATTTCGGGGTCCACCGGTCACAAGTCCTCGTAGCTGCGTTTAGCTCGTAATGGTAGTCGCATCGCTCACAAGCCATCGTGCCATTAGCCGGACAGTGGGCTCCAACAGCGGGATCGCCATGGGCGGGACAAGTGCAGCTGTGGTGGAGTTGTTATGACAGGCTTAACGCGTTATTTTAGCAACGCGTTATAGATGCATGCTGGTTGGATTCTAGTACTGCTCTAGTAATATTCTGCTTTATAACGTGTTGCTAAAATAACGCGTTAAGGCTGCCATAGTTGTGTTAAGAAGAATACAGTATTCTGGGCGATGTAATCACGAGCAGATAAAGTCACAATTATAGTACATCCTCTCCGTGCACTCTCCGTTGAGCATGTCGAAGCCTTCACCGCAAGTAGTGCACTTCAGTGCACCGTCCACCGGACAATCGCCACCTTCTGCGTGCTCACCATGTGGGCAATTACAGACGTTCTTGACGCAACTGTGCCCATCCAAGTGGTAGCCTTCGTGACACACGGAGCACACGTTGGCATGAGGAGCTGGACATTCCACGCCCTTTGCGGCGGTGCCAGTGGTGAGATCGCAGACGCACTGCTTTTCCTCGCATTCGCCGGGTGCTTTTTGGATTAGGAGAGACAGGGAATGCATCTATGGCGTTGAGGTCGGAACATGATCACAAAAAGACGCAAGTCCTATTAGAGGTAGGTTCTTGGTGTTCGTTTGTCCCGTTTGTTATGGCCGTCCTCCTTAGGAGAGCCATAACAAACGGTAACAAATGCAGCTTTAATCTACCCTTAATCCTACACCTGAAGACCAATTGTTGAAGTTCTACATCATCCTCTAATATCTTCAAACGATTATAGGTCTTCATCACATCATCTTCCCTAACATGAAAAATCCCGGTTCGGTGCAATTGGAACAAAAGGCTGCTCCATGCGAGGGGCAGTCGGCGCCAGTAGCCCCCACGCCTCCCGCACAGCTGCATTCGTTGACAGCACACGTCATGGGCGATGGTCCCGTCAGTGTCTGCGGAGTGGCTACGCTCGTTGCGTTCAAGACACTTCTTGGAATGGAGTTAGAAACGGGATGCGGATGGTGGAGGACTTGTTAGGCCTTGCTTCTTAGAAAACTCAAAGGGGCTGCAGATAGGGAAGTACACTTTCAACCTTCAGAATCAGACAACTGTTTTTCTTGCCATACATCACAGTCGAATGATTTATCCCTCAAAGCACTGTTCACAGCGAATCTCCGCACCTACTGGAATGGACTTGTTAGGGCTTGCTTCTTAGAAAACTCAAGGGCGCTGCAGATGAGGAGATGAGAAAAAGCATACTTTAAACGACCCTGAGACGTATTATAAGTGTAGTACTAACCCGATCGAGATTCGCGAAGATATGGATATCTTTGTCCGTCCAACATCATAATCAAGTGGTATCCCTCAAAGCACTGTTCGCAGCGAATCTCCGCATCTACTGGACACGCTTCTCCTGCGGATCCTGTCCCGTGCGGACACTCACAGGCGTTGCGGACACACTCTTCGCCATCAAGGGTGAAGCCTGCGTCGCAACTGGCACAAGACTGCGCATAATCCTCAACACAATGTTCGCCGGTCTGCGCAACACCGTGTGCGCATTTGCAGCGGTGGGGAGTGAAGAGGGGAAACGAAAGGAGGAGAGAAAAGTGGATGGAGAGAATTCTTGCTGTCGAAACCCTAACCTCGCACCGAAGATCAAAACGGCTCTTCTAAGTCTCTAATCTAATACATAGAACTATTTATGTTCAATTTCATTCCCTGCCATACTATTCAATGGATTATCATCTTCTTCAGTGCAACGACTCCACCAATAAACGGATTTGTATTCGCCATCGAAGGAGCCGCAGGGACTATCCGTGTCCCCAGCAGCTGTGCACCGGGAATCACATTCGGCTCCACCGGTGCTAATGTTGGGATTAGCGTATGGATGTTGAGTTAGCAGGGACGAGTAACATCTTGAAAATGGTCGTAGTTGCGAATCTCGAGAAAAGGACATTCTTCATCGCGATCGCAGTGCTTTTCCAGTATTATTTACGAGTATTATTCACAAGCAAATTAAGTAGAAAAAGTCGCGGTGTCACAGCATAGCATATTCACTCCCCAGATCCTCTGCGCATTCGCAGATATCGCCGCCTTCTGAGAGTAGTGCATATTTCGGCAGAGCCTTTTCACTCTCACACTGAATAGCGCAATCCTTGACAGAAAAGGGCCCACCACTAGAACGGAACAAGACGTCCAGGCCCTCTGCGCTAGGTCGAGTGGTTGCATTGAAAGAGGCTATGCCACCTTGGTGTTAGAAGTGGGAGTGAGAGGATTTGGATGTGGAAGTCGAGGTGAAGCAGGGGAAGAAGAAGGAAAGAGTCTGGTGGACGAAAGGGGATGACTCACGAGTTTGTAGTTACTAGCGAAGTATTTGTAATTCCATAAGTCGAAGTCGAAGGCGCCTCCTGCTTGAACTTGTAGCAGCCACGATGGTGAGTTTCAATAGGGAAGATGTGCTTATCATCATCCTGACCCGAGGTGCCAAGGAAAGCATTTCCAGATTTCGACGTCTTCTGAGTTGTTCTACTTGGCGCTGTCCTCGTCCATGATGAAAGAAGACTTCTGCTACGAGAAGAAGCCGCCTCGTCTTCGCTGAATTTCAAACCGTTGACCAAAGATAGTTGCAACACTGCGGAGGCTGTGACACAGAGACGCCGACGTACGAGTCTTTGTTGCACCTTCATTTTTTGGTTTTTCGGCATTGAAAGCCGTATTCACTTCTCAGCGACGCCTCACATTGACAGTGACATCATCGATTTTGTCTCTATCCCTTTTGTGGAAGAAACTGACAGGATCAGGGTAAATATTGAGGATGAGGACAAAATCATTTGGCTATACTATTAAGGAACAACGTCACCTGGTTATCTCGTTGTGCCCTTAAGCGCAAGAGTCAGGAACAAGGTCCTTATAACTGAGCAGCAGCTGGCACAAGGTTGCAATCTGATTGCAAGGTGCAATAGCATTGAGGTTCACCTGCATCAAGAACGATGCATGAACGATATGGATATAACATCTTCAAAAATCTCAAACTCTGGTGCATCAATAGCTAGCGATGCCCTCTATATTCTCGATAACATCAAAACTCTCAAGTTCTGGTACACATCGATAGCTACACATCAAATCTAGCTACACCAATATCGCAATCGCTATCCAATCGGTTTAGGAGGATTCAATAGGCCCCCTCTTTTATACTGGCTGAATCCTTGCGCTCTCGTTTTCCTGAATTCGAGTTTCGCTGGATCCGTCAGGGGCCATTCCTCTGCTTCTGCCTGTTTTCTCAAACGTGCTGCTACTTTTGGGTCTAGGGATTGATCCTGGTGGTCTTGCTGGTCTTGTTGTACTTGTTGCTGTGATTAGAGCTGAGAGAAATCCATCTTCGGGCTTATCAATCTTGGTCACGGGAGCAAGCAAGATGCTGGGGAAGATGGATTTCAATTTCTTGTAGTAGCCGTAATGTGAAGCAAAATGCTCAGAAGCCCCACTTGTTCCACAAGCACCATTCATATAGGCAAAGGGGTTGACTGCTCTGTCTGGATAACTTCTGTAGGAGAGGTCTTGCTCTCTTGAAGACGATTGATGTGTCCTCGAGGAGTCGGCTTCCCTCGTTGAAGAATAATCTTGATCTTCTGAGAAGCCTGTGAGTCCTGTGTTCTTCATGCTCTCACTAGCAGTGGTGGATGAACTAGTACCTCCTAACAACCCTTCGACAGCTAGTTGTGTCCTGCCGTCTTCTGCAGTGATATCAAAAGTGTCTCGTGGGCCACTAGCAGCTGCTCTGGATACTTCTCCACGTCGCACTGGTACTATTACTTGCGGGATGCCCGAAGATTAGAACGGTCATCGATTGCATTGCTCACATGGAACAAGGTCGGTCAGTACCTCTACCTCTTCTAACTGATATTAAATCACTTACTTACACTACATCTTCACCACAGTACCAACAGATAATAAAAGAGAGTCCTTTACACATAATCAACATGTGTATCAAGAAGAATCACAGTCACTTCTTCATCTTAACAGTGTGGATGTATTGCACCAGGGTAGACCAGGAGTTTGCGGTACTTGGTGTTCTTCATGTAGTGGTTGGCCAACATGCGTTTGACGCATAGATTCATGATCATCGATGGATTCAGGGAGTTAGAAGGGGTTTGGATCAGGTCGTCGACGTGAGGACGTGAGTGATAACTAAGTAAGGGATGTTGCCCAGGATGTTTTCTTCACCACGAAATAAATGAGTGAATGAATGAATGAATGTGCCTGACAGGAGGTATTTGCAATTACAGCCTTACTTAACTTATTCAGCTTTTTTTACTCCGCATTGCAGTATCATTAGACAAGTCAGCACAGAAACGAGAATGAACGAAGTACAACAGTTTTGCAAGCGGTCATAAGATAAAACAATCTTTTCGCAGTGATGAACTTCGGTCCTCGGGGATCGGTCCAGCGATTCGTTTTTTTGAATCGGTACATCTTTGTGTCCCAGGTATGGCCAGGAAAGGTCACATGGATTGCGTTGACTAGAATAACGCTGTCTCCATGCACAGCCCTGTGCTTCACATCTGGCCGATGCTTGCCAGATAAGAGAGACGCGACGCGGGTACCTTGTTTGATTTGAGGCTGGTTGTAGCAGATGGTCGCGGGTGAGTTGAAGAGGCGTTCTCTAGAATGACTGTAGAACTATGAGCAGACGAGGAGGCGGAAGAGGAGGAGCAGCAAGATGATGATGGCAGACGACCGTGAAGATTTGTGTCCGTTTTTGATTGAAATGTCCGTAGCACCCGTACTAGAGCCTAGCACTAGTTGTTCTGGTACAACTCGACATCGAAACTAAAAAATAGCAATAAGTACTTACCCAATCTCCCTACGCCCCATCCTTTGCAATCTATGATGTGAAACCAGCCTTTGGATTCGTCGTAGTGTGATATGGCTTTTAGACTCTTGTGAGGTCTCGCATCTGGTGCCACCTGAGGCATGTTCCAGCTCTGGAAGGGATGGGCGATTTAGGTTAGAGGAGGAGTCACTACACTCTGCATTCTCTGGATGCAGAACGAACCTACTTTCCCTTCGTCTAAGGCTGAACCTGAGTAGTCAAAGCTTACGCTGATAGTCTTAAGGCTGAACCTGAGTAGTCCTCTTCGGCTAACATTTACAGAGAAGCAAGTGGTCAAAGCTTACGCTGATAGAAGTTCTAGAAAATTCTATCAATAACCAATGAACGACCGTAACCACTGATACTTGCTAAAGGGATCGATGTCGTCGGTCGTGTGGAAGCTCTGCAGAACTCGGCTAGCAATGGCGCGTCTCTTCCATTCGTGGAAGGCACTACGCTTCTTTCGTCCAGGACCCAAGCGGGAACAAGAACGGGAGAACATCTTGTTCTTCTGTTGGTCTTTTTAAGCACAGTACTTTTTATGTTGTTGTTGTTGTCCCTTATTTTATTTAAGTATATTAATAGTACAATGAATAATAAGTAGGAAAGATGTTGAGCAAGAAAGTAGCTTCTCCTCGTGTGTGGTCTTCTTACTTTGGTTGTATAAGGAGAGAAGTGTTCCGCTTCTTTTTTTTAGACAATGTAGATATTATGGACGGGGTTGCTATTTCTCTTTATCGCCTCTTAATAATCTCACCAAGTAGTATGGGTGTGCTGCTGGCAGATATGCATATGACAACACATGCAAGGATCCTCATCAACACCACGTGCTGGTATTCAATTCTTGACCGGGCCATTCGATCTTTCAAGATGGCTTTGTAGTTCAAATCATGGACTCCTCTTCCTGCAGCTTGACCATCTCCACCACACTCACACACAGACACGACAAAAGATATTCAATATTGTTAACCGATAAATACATAATGAAGACCAGTGTGGTCCTCGTTCTTTCACTGGCAGATATGACAAGAACAAACGAACCTTCCCGCCACGGCCTGGCCGCCTACTTGCGCATAAAAGAAAATTCCTTAATGTCAAGACCGCGTGAGAGCAAAAAAACAGTTTTTTTTTTGCCTAAGTGCTTGTCAGTTGAACTGATAAAAGCAATCGGTTGTTTAAGTGCGATTTTCCCATTAATCAAACCATATATACAACGAACAGTAGTAATGAAAGATCTTCATCATGTTTACAAACAGCAACATCACAAAATTTGTACAGATTCTCTTCATAGACTTGCTTCTTGGAACTTCCACTGACTTTTGAAATCAAATCAAGCACAATCTAACAATGAATCATAGTACAACTACATGGTACTTTAGTTACAAAACCCACCAGTCGAGGAGGCACTTCCCGGCAAGCATCAAGATCCTAAAGTTCGTAAGTACAAGGATTCGACATTGATTGTCCTCAAGTCTGTGCATAAGTACAACATCCTCACGAGGAAGAGTTCGTCTCAATCAGGTGGAATATAATCAATCTGGAGGTACAACTAGTACATCATATAATAAATCAACATCTATTACCTAGTAATTCTAATTTTTTCCCGATCAATGCAATTAGCCATTACAATCTAAGACTATTCTTTTTCTTAGAATTATACAGAGAAGGCAATAACGTCAAGGAGTTCTACTTCTGTTTCAACATCATGGACTGCCATGCTCGTCTTGTCCCGATGTCGCTTCTTGTCGTTGCAAGCGCATGCAAACTAGTTCTGAAATCACGGCGTAACTACAAACTGAAATCACTGTAGTTGTATGCGTAGTGGTAGTACGTGTAGTAGTAAATTCTCATTTTTTTAGAAGACATAGTAGCTCTCAATAATTGCAGCAAAACAAACATTAGCCATACTTTTTTCTTGGATTTACTTTAGATAGTCATTCTTACTTCTTACTTCATAGATACTTGCCGTTGCGTAGTAGATAGATACGTAATAAGGTTTTTGCAGAAAGGTACGTGGTAAATTCTTGAACATGACATACTTACTCATCAAAATAAGTACTCGAGGACATCCATCATATGATGAAAGAGTGATAGAGCAGTATTCTGCCCCTGTTCATCCATGTTGATGTCGTTATGTCATTCCATGTGCAGGCAATATGCTTCTTGGAACATTGAATAACATCTGATTTTTTTTTGTATTCGGAGTTGTATTGAAATGACAGAAAACTGAAAATCCTAACTTGATGATGTGTTTGTGTAGTTCTTCTGAAAAGTTCACTAGTTCTGAAGAGTATCATCTATTTGAAAAAATATATCTAGTTCTCATCCAACTGCTCTGAACTGCTCTAGCACTCCACTCCACCTTGTTCAACAGCACCAGCAATCGCGACTGTTGTTCGCAGCAACAATCACGACTGTTGTTTGTTGTAGTACAACTGTCCTTGTGCAGCCGTGCGCTGCTGTTGCTGCTGACCGCGCTCGAGATAGTACGCCTGACAGCGCTCACACATCCCATACTTGACGAACTTCACAAAGCGCGTGTACAACTGGTTCTCGTGAATGTTAGAGTGAGAAGGCAAAAAAAAGGCGAGTGAGTGGTCGTGTAGTACTACGTCGTGTTAGTTGTAGAGAGAGCGATTTCGATTATACGTAAGTACTTTGTTATGAAAGTATCTTCTTATGTTGATGAGAGGAAGTAAATCGTCATGGTGTTCATCTCTTGATCGTATTATACCACTGTCCTAAATTTCACATCGCGAGCAAGACTCCAGTCGAACTGCCCGAAGTTGACCATACCAGTTCCGACACAAGCAGGGCGCACAACGGACAGAGCAGAAGCGTACAACACGTTTTGTTCTGGGTATTTTGTTTTTGATGATGGATGTGTGTACATAGGTGTAGCAGGAATTATTGTTTGATTGATTGTGTAGTAGCGTTGATTGTCTGATTCATTGACTGATATATCACATCGATCTTAGAAGTAACATAAAAAAATTGGTCCTACAAGAATCTAGTCTTGTAGAGACTTTTTCTTGTTTCACTGATTGTCCTAGACGCGTAGTACCCCTAAGTCTATGCTTCTGTCGAGCAGCATCTGGGTTCTTGATTCGCAAACGCTTGGCGTTGGTGTCGATATTTATCGCATCCAACTTCAAAATCTTTTCCTCGTCTTCCCAGATACCTTTTGTGTCATCAGGTTGAGTTGGGTGCATCAGCATTACTTATGTAGATGATTGATTCTGGAGAAGACTGATGATGTTTGAGTGTGAATACATCATATTATAAGCGAATAGTACAAAGATCCTTGCACTTGACGTTGAGGAAGGAGCATTTTTTCGCCTTGAGGAGAAGTTCCAAGATATCCAGACGGTGCAGTTCATCCGCACGATAACGCTGAGAAAGGTTCTGCCAGAGTTCTCGGTTGAAAATCGCGTATGAAGGGAGTGGAAGAGGAGGAGGAGAGAAAAAAGGAGACATATTTATAAGCAAGTGGGAATAGAAAAACTATTTGAAATTATCATGAGATATGAAAGATTACAGCCCTCTTGCTTCGAACGATGAATACTGGTCAAACAAATTCCAGAAGATGAAAGTGAAAGAGCAGCAAAAATTACATCAATATTTCTTTCTTTCATCACAACTAGACGAAAATTGAAACGTCGAATGCGAATCTTCACAAAAAATTAATCATAATGTCTGATCTTTGGCATTCGGTGGCGGATTGCCTTTGAAGAAGAAGATAGCTTGGGCAACCTTGCGTTCGATTCGATCGAACGTCAAATTGCCGTTCCAACTGGCGCTCCTTGTGCTACTATTCTCCCACTGACCAATACTGAACTGCTTGCTCCAGAGCATGGAGGTTAGACGAACACGGTGATCATCGTGAGGAGGGGAGATAGATGGTGAGGAGAGGAGATAGATGGAGAGGAGATATAGACGGTAGTTTGATTGATAAGGGAACAGGCCAACGCCTAAACCACTAAGCCAATTGCGCAGTTGGCTTAGTGGTTTAGGCGTTGGCCTGTTCACTGATCAAGGAGGTGTATCTACTCATGTGTCGTGTGCCCCTGTTATGATCTTTTCTTCATGAGGAGGTGTACCACAGATAATTGTTCATTCATTCATTTGGATAGTGCCTGTTCTAGAGGTTTCCAATCGTGCGTTAGGACGCAGGAGAGGTTTCACTAGGAGGTTGTACAAGGATTGTCTACTAATGCATTTTGATGATGTGCTCTTTACTATCACTTCATCTATCTTCTTTAGCACCATAAAAGTTGGTATACATCAACAACTACATTCATTTGATTTATTTGGGAACAAGTAAGTAGTAGTAGTCGTACTCGTTAACCCATTCACGGGTTAACTACGGGAATGGAGAATCAAAATGAAAATCTATCATAAAGGTCCTCCACCCTGAGCAGGTACCATGCCTCCATTCCGCAATGCGAGCATGTGTTGCTGTTCATCACCGCGAAGACTGCCAACTGGCACTAAGTTTTCGATTTCGAGTTTTACGGTTTGAATCCCGTTGTTGAAATCAAATTCATTATCTGACATAGAGGTATCAGTCCCCGTGCCCGCAGCTGTGCTATTCGTGCCACCGCGCTGTGGTGGAGGTGGAAGTATAAGTAATTCTTGTAGGTATGTTTTTGTTTCAAAGTAACTGGTGGAGTGCTTACTTAGCTCTGATTCGTGACCATTGGTGTTGTTTCCTCAACCTGACACGAGATCCGTTCTTTTCAATGTCGAAGTAAGTCAACCTCATAACTACATGTAGTTGTAGATGAAATTCACGTGTAGTTTCTTATCATGTCATGACAAGCAATACGAATACCAATACGATGGTTTATAGTAAGAAGAATGATGAATTTGTTAGGTTGTCGGTGTGAAAGTCAAGTAGTATGTGAGTTATTTTAACTTCTTGAGTCAAAATTAATGAACTCGTCAACATATCCAACTTTCTTTCCTAAACAAGTTTGATTGCGGAATATAAAAAAAAATCCAAAAAATACCGCAAGTCTTTGAGCGGTACTGAGCCTTTTCGGCGATCGTGACTTAGTGTCCATGCTGGAAGAACTAGCCCCACTTCGTGTATCCCAGTCTCGATCCGAGTCCTTGGCACGATATTTCTGTTTTAATTGAAAGCAAATAATAATTGAATGTGAAGGAAAGCAAATAAAATATCATCATGTTCTCCTTCGTCGGGTGCGTGGGTGCTAACTACACAGAAAAATACCGCTCCTTGTTCTGGGCTCGCTGTGTACTGAGGGACACGCGCAGCGGGAGCGAAATTCAACTTGGCAGTATCCGAAGAAGAGGACCAGTCCGATCGGTCCGAACAGTTTGGGTTTGCATCTGTTACGGATGATGGTGAGGCTGAGGATGACGATGAGGATTTATTAACGGTGCCTATTAAGTATGAACAAGAATTTGATGATTTTCCCTTGTAAAATCTTTGCGAATGTGAAGAAGTAGAGGAGTTGTGCTATGCATTTCGCGACCGGATTCAGAAAATATGTATCATAGTACTGTGCATTTCGCAATAGAATGTATTTCCATCGACTTTGGAGACGTGGACCCTCTTCCCAAGTTGTCCATCTTCGGTCGCGTTTGTTCCCAGGTTATCCACATGTCCAATAACAAAATCCTTGCCCACAAAGTTCGTTAGCGCTACTAATTTCATTGTGCTCGTGGAGATGATTCAAAGTAGGGATGATTGCAGAATGAGGAAGGAGAGGACAGAGGGAGAATGAGGAAGAATTTATTCGAGAAGAGTCTTATAGGTTCATCTTCTTCAAGTACAAACAACACATCTTCGTGACGAGGTAAATAAGGCCTTAATTTGAGTCGTTGGTCCTGGACACGTTGCAACAGCTCTTCCTGGGTGTAACTTCGCCATCGTGTGTCGTTGCACATGCTGACGTACCCAATTGCCTCATTCGCCACGATTACAGGGTTTGGTAGCCGTTTTTGACCAGGGTCCCGCGATATGGACGGGTATTAGAAGAAGACGGTGTGGAATTGGAATGTTCAGGAGTTATAACATCTAACTACAGGTCGTGAAGATTGGTTTTTCTTTTTAGCATTAGCGCGCAAGTAAGAAGTCTAATAAAGTGTTCTCTCGAGACTAATAGAAATGCCTGAAGACAACTCTATTTGTTGCCTCGTCTCATAAATCATATGGCCATTGTGCGGGAGGTTGTGGCCATTATGCGCCGCCGCCGAATACTGCGGACGCACCCCCGACGATGGATGTTGATGATACATCTTCATTTGTTTTTATGATTCGGAGACTTGGAATTTTTTCGATTTTTTCGAAGGATCTCTCAGACTTGTCCCTAGAAGTTTTTAGATACTTCTACAGCTTGAGGTTGTCTCCGTCTTATCCTAGACTCATACAAGTTTGTTCATCTTCTCTTGGTGGATCCAACTACGCGTTTTTTGGATGAAAATTTCTATAATGGAAGGTTTCAGGTGTGAGATTCGCGTTGATTTCTAATCAATCTAGTGATGTAGTTGTGATTAGACGATAGTGGATATAACAATCTATTCTAATCTAAGTCTGTAGAAGAGTAAAAAGATGAGTGCGTTAACGATGTTGATCAAGATCAATCAAGAGTTGAATTTCAAAAGATCGATCAATCAAGAGTTAAAAAGAAAAATTGTTGAGGGCTCTTACTCAGGGATGCAGCATGGAGGTCGTGGTTGTAGGAGGGGGTAGAATAAAGAAAGAGGCAGCTGCTGTTTTGAGCTTTCACAGACGCCGGACCGATTTCTTCTGTCTGGCTCTGGCGAGCTAACCGATGGAAAATAGAACATCCTGGAACGAATGTACCGAGAAGATATATCAACTGAGTCAATGGCTCTGGTATTTGGTAACCTGAGTTTGATCCTAAGGGAAAACAAGAAGAGAACCCTTAGGATCAAATTCAGGTTACCAAATACCAGAACCATACATCAACAAGCATTCCAAGACAAGACTATACAATACAATTAATCTCGCACAAAGTTCAGTGCAGACTGCCTTAAGGGCGTCATAGATGGCACCGAACATGAGCAAGAGAGCAAGACGAGAACCTGTCATTTCGATTTCCTCAGATGAAGGTCATCTTCAAGGTGAAAATGAACACACATGGTCTGTCTCTACTCTACCTCCAGCCGTTGTGATTCAGAAGATTTAGATTTTTCAATGTGCAGATGAAGAAGAAGATGCAAACATTTTTTACGAAGGAAAACAGCCATGAATTTAGGAGAAGACTTATTGAAACATCTAGGTCGTCAGCTAAATAAGTCCTCGTAGAAATGGTACTTTTTTTCGATGTTGCAATTTCGAATTATCGCTAATTAATTGGAATCAATCGCGTGGTCCATTCATTCATTCGAACCACGTAGCAACTCAGAGCTGCCTGGTTCCGGAGCGACCCGAGTAAAGACGCGGCAGCTATATACGACCGACTGCTTCTGGCGTGAGTAACGCCTATGGCAGGCTAAATAGACCGACACGCTTTTCCTTCCTTTAGTACTACAGCGATGTGGTTATGGGCCTGAAGATGACGACAGTTGCAGATATAATCTATGTGTCATGTCGTGTACATCCACAAGAAACCTTCGAATAAATTGACATTGTTGTTCCCCGAATACAGTCAGAAGATAGGGTAAGCACAAGATTGAAAAGCAGTTCCGCGCTACCTTCTTGTGTGAACCTTTTATTTAAGAGAGCGGAAGCTCACGTCTCTCTCTCTCTCTCTTGTCAACGCAATCTCGCCCGATTTCTTTGTTCGCATAAGCACCAGCTCAAGGAGGCTCCCGCCGTCAAGAATACAAGATCAAGAGGAACAACAGCACTCTCAGTCTCACAGATTATCATTATCACATACAACTTAGTTGTCTTTAATATCACATTTTTAATTCAATTTTTGAAGAATTGTAAAAGAACAAAACTGACAATCACAATTTGAAACTCAATTACATCTTCGTGCATAAAACTACTCTTCCTCTGGCTCTGGGTGTGTTGAATATATTGCGGTAGACCTCCTTGTGTATGCTGCACAACATACCATCAATAGCACTCTCGTAGTCAACAAGATGCTGGGCTCTCATCTAATCGAGTCACTCGCAGACAGAACTCGCTACACTCAGTTATGGTACAGAATCCGCCTCATCTCCAGCTTCGAGGCCAAGCCTAGACACGCGACTACTGTATATTTCTCATGCTCTCTTTCGCGTTTTTAAGTAGCTAGTCGTCATCTACCCGCCCATTGGGTATAGAAGGAGACATCTATAGAAACAACAAAAAGATGAAACTCAAACTCTTCATCTTGTTCTGCGCTGGCCATTTTTCACCACGACCCTGCCGAGCCGGTCGCATATATGCATGAGCCTAAGAAGTAAGTAGTGAAAGAGAGAGTGGCAAACGCCTCGGAGGTTTTGTCACGTTACAGCGTCTTTTAGTCTCAGAATACAGAGGGTCCATCCTCTCACAGACCTCTAGACAAAATTAGAATCTGAAGTCCTATCTGAATTTTTTAGAGGACTCCTTGTCCTGAATTCCTGTGCGCATCATTTTTTATGGTACAATGCTGATTTTGTTTGTGACTGATCTCTACGACTCTTGGTCCTTTAAGTCGTCACCAATCTTACCTTCTTATAGATACATAGTGTTGCTGTTCAATTCTAATGGAGTTACTGCTAGTTCATCCTTATCTACTTAAGCCCGCCTGATTCCATTAGGGAGCCTCTCTGAATTTAGAGGACTCCTATCTGAATTTAGAGGACTCCTTGTCCGGTGGATCATCCCATAGAGATAGTAAGTAGATTGAGTCCACAGAACAAGACTCGGATGCATAAAAACTAATATTCCCGCCCAGTACAACTGCTTCGATGATGTTCATTCATTTCAGATTCTGAACAGTTGTTGTATACGTATACCCAATAATCGATGAGACATTATAGATACAAGATCGATAGATCTGAACAGTTGTTTACGACCCAATGACATTCATCATACAAGAAAAAAATTCCCCAGTTACAACAAATAACTAAACTGTGTTCTGCTCACCTGACCAACTATATAGTACATTGAAATGATCCCTGTTACTTTTTAATCCGTTCCACTACTTTATTCTAGCAAGAATAAAACAAGGTCTCTATTTCTACTGTCCTCTGCTTGCCGTGATGCCTATGTTATCTTTTCCACTAGTACTAGCAGAACGTCGTGGTTACAACTGTCCTCTGCTTGCTGCGCTAACTATGTCGTTCCTGCTAAGTAGAGGTCGCATCAACTACTGTCTGCTTGCTGTGATGCCTAGAACATCATGCCCTTGGTAGTCGACTTTTCGCACCAGTAGAGGCGAGCCGATCGGAGCCGGTGGCGGACCGACGCACAAAGATCCCACTGGCGGCACGTACTTTGGGTCGACCTCGTTCAGCAAGTCGTGCAAGGTTTGTTTCGTGTAGTCGAAGCTATTCGCGTGTGGCTTGACATGCGGATCAGGGCTATCCGGATCACTCACCTTGTACTCGCTTTCGGGGACACCTAGTAGAAGGGTGAAAGGAATGGAGAGATTGAATGGAATGGAGAGATTGAAAGGAATGGAGAGAAAGAGATTGAGCCTTCCTAAGAGTGAGATGTTGTAGCTGTTGCAACGCTCTTTTTCATCTACCAAGTTTCAACATCTACTACAGTAACAGTAGTAGTGTCCCTTTCCCTTAATTATAAGTATTAAGAAATAATATTTATACCCATGATAGCGCCTCGAACTTGTTTCATCATGCCCTTCGCGGTGTCAGTTTTCTCGATGATGTCGTTAATATCGAATTGCAGATTGCTGATCTGATGGTTCTGCTTGTCGATGACTCCTCCCATCTCTGATAAGGCCTGCTCGTGTCGTGCTTCCATGGCTGCAAGTTTTTTCTGCAAGGCGTCCTCTCTTCGGTCCATCAGCGCTTGGCAATCCTTGTGCAGCTGGTCAATGTCTTCCCGTTTGCTGTTTTTGATTCACTTATAAAGGGATCATTTTCTCGTCGTGGCAAGAGATGTACTTATACATAGAGTTGTTCATCCTCATCATGTGTCTCAAACAACTTACTACAACATTTCTCCAATATCTGATTTCATATTACTTAATCGCTTATAGCAGCAGCAGCCATATTGATGATACGAATCTACTCGGCTATCTGCCTAAGATTTCCCTGACGAGCAACAGCCATATTAAGGCAGTATTATATTTGTGGTGGAGCCGACCTAACTAGAAAAAAGACAGACCAGAGGAAGATATAGAAGAGAAAAGGGTAACTATCGACAAGTAACCTAAAGTGTCCTGCTAACTGCTGAAACTAACTAAGCGCCGGCGCTATCGTCGTCCTGTCAGCCCCATAGGTCTCACCTTCAAAGGCAGGCCGGAGCCCTGTGCAACGCCTCCGGTGAGTGCTCAGCTCTCTGGTTGTGTGCACAGGTTTATTCGCTATGGGGTACCGGTTCACCAAATAAACCCACAACCAGAGAGAAGGACCCTCGCTACTATACATCTACTGC